TTTTTTCTCTCTTTCTCTCTCTCTCTCTCTCTCTCTCTCTCTCTCTCTTTCTGATTAGTTTAATAGCCAGGAAGCATGAATTAAAAAAAAAAAAAACTAAAATTAATTATTATTTTTTGCATAATTAATTTATTGTATTGTTTTGTATTATTTTTTAAAAATTGTATAAACATTACTGATAAATTTAAACTGCAGCCAGCATTCTTTAAGCTACAATACGATACGATTTTTACATAAATTTAAATCCTCTAAGCTAAAATTGGATAAAACATCGGACATACCTTGAGGTAAATTGTAAGCCGTGAAAATCAATTTACATTTTGTAAGGCGAGTTAGAAGATATGTAAAAATAGTTGAGAATAAGATTTGCTTGCATTAGTTATTTTCAATTTGGACTACATTTATTTTATTCATATATGTTTTCAATCACGCTCTTCACATTTTCCAAGTGCATCGTACGTCTCCGGAAAAGTGTAAAGCAAGGTACACAAAAGAAGCCGTAAAGAGATGAAGTTAAGAGGAATACATCAATGTGATCGTTTTTATGAAGTCCCCAACTTGTGTTTCTATGCTTTGCAAATAATTGTGATACTAAACTTAATATGTTGATTGGACATAAGGGAATAGATTAAATACTTTTTCAAATCACTTTAATTAAACTAATCAGACATGTTTCTATTAAAATCCCCACTTATTTTGAAAGGTGTATCTCTTTTGCGCTTGATTTTCTTGCGCTCAATGCTGGAAACTGTTAAAGTTAGATTCCATCGCGCGAGGTTTCACATTTTGTGAACATTTAGCCCCGAAAATGTGAAAAGGACGCTTAAAAATCCGTATAAGTTGAAGATAGTTTGAAAGTTCATTTGCGTGAATGAGACGGAAGAGATCGTTATGAAAACCGTTTAAAAACCGGTTAATAAAAACAACAAAGCTCAAATCTATATACATAAGAATGAAATTGAACAGAAATGTTTTGTATCGTAGCGTCACTTATCCGCGTAAATAGTAGAGCAGGTAAGAATCGTGACTACACCAAGTCTGTGCTCGCGGGTTCAAATCTCAATGCAGTAAAGTTTACTTTGACACACAGCCACTAGAATGTGGCCAGTACTTCTCACTACATCTTTCTTCTTTCTCACTTCTTTCTAACCCTTCTCGCAACAAAAAAATACGGGACATCCCCTTAGTGATTGGCCATATAATAGAAAAATGAAAATAAAAAAATATTAATTGAGTTTTCCTTTTCTTAGAAACCTCGAACACATTCCAAAAGTGAATGTGAAGGAACGTCAAAGGATAAATTCTTTGTTGCTATTCTGTGTGCCTTAAAATAGGTTCTGAATAATTCTCCAGTACAGCTATGCAATGTTTTAGCTAAAGGCGGGAACCACTAATATCATATTATAGGTTTAAAACTTTTCAACTCTACAGATGACAGATATATATATATAAGGTAGTCTGGAAATTTCTTGCAGGTTTTCACAACGGAATCAAATAATTTTTTTTATATAAGGAATAAACATTTTGCTTGGATGAATTAAGGTTTTCCGCCATCCCTCCAATCGTCTTATGTCGCTCGAATTTAAATAATAACCTTTAGTGGGTCGTCATATATGGTATTTGGCGTACTCGAATGCGATAAATCTTTCACTGAAAATTCCCAGAACGAAATTTCGCCACCCCATTTTGGCAAGTGTGGTCTGCACAGCATTAGTTCTATACAAAGCACATTTTACCCTATGTACTTCTGTAGCTGTTTTACCATTTTTGAAATAAAGAATTAAAATATGGCTTATACGATCACTTTCACTTTCCAGATCGTACTGACGTCTCACTATACCACAAACGATCACTTTGAAACTTTTTTACAAAATAGCCATAAAACTGCTCTAGATAACTATGTACACCTTCAGCCCTAGATACCTGGCTAGAAACCTGAAAAATGTTCTTTTGACCTGGTGTCGGAAGAAACCGTAAGAAATTTTTAGACTACCTAATGGTTTAGACAAAGATTTTAAATGTCAAATAGCTCGCCTAATTGATTGGTGAACAACTCTACAAAAATTGATTTCAAAAATATGCAAATCCATTACTGTCCTGAAGTTTTCTCGCATAAACCGAAATATTATTAAGCTTTCACATTTTGCAAGAGTTTCGTCTCAATAACGTTTTCAAACCTTAAATTGAATAACTAAAGGGGCTTTAGTTGTTTCTCTCATAGCTGGAACATAAGAAGTTGTTTCCCTCATCCTGTGAATAAGTTAATAAGTTGCCATCAGAAATCTAGAGTGTAACTCCCTGCATTTAAATTTGGCAATTAAATGTCTCTTTTTAATAAGCGGTACACTGTCTAAATCAACTAACGCGTGTAAGGTGTAAGCCAAGTGATGGAAAGCCCAATTAAAATTGTATTAGTTGAAGCGATGCTAGAGAAATTTTTAATAGTTTTGCGATTTTATATACTTGATCGTAAAATTGTTTAACCTACGATTTTAATTTGACAGATTCATCGAGGTTCATCTGTCATTAAATCATAGACCCATGTTTCTACAGATTTGTTACAAATTTCCCGATCACTTACTGTGCCAAAAATTAAGACTAAAATATTTTTATCTGCCTTCAGGTATTGATTAAGAACTTCATACCAGCAAACATCAACATTTACCATCGAAAGCTTCACTGTGAAAGTAGATGCGATCAGCCCACGAACGTGCACATAAAATCAAACCTACGCCAACTTAAATTCCCTAACAGATAATGACCTTTATGAAGAACTTGACTAAATATTTGCAAAGAAAATTCTGTTTTAAATATGGCGAACTTGGAGAGTATAATGGTTAAGGATCGTCAGGTGAGGAAATGAAGACCAAGACAAGTCAAAAACTTACTTACGGGGCTGGTGGATGCGACACGAAATGCAAACAATACAAGCGAATAGCAATCAGAGCGGAGAACTACCTAAAGAGTTCAATATGTTGGTAGAAGTTGAAATATAGCTACGATCTAGGATCAAATATATATAGACTCGAAAGTGGTGCTATCTATACAAACGAGAGGAGGTCATTTTACCCTCATTATCAATTACATGAAAATTAAATTCTATCGATAAGTGCGTACTTTGACAGATACAATTCAAAGCAATTCCCAGAAAAGCTTATGTACGGTATTGCTGAACTCGGAATGCCGTCAATTGCATTGTCTTAGGTTACTATTTTTCACAAAATGAAAGGCAGTACAGTGCATTGCAACATACTAGGCCTAGAAGTGAAGATATTTACAGAGAGGCTCAAGCATATGTAGATCTTAGGTCTCAGAAATAGAAATACTGAATGGTACTAAGCTTTGCAATAATGAAGTGCTCACCGATATCAATATAATGGGATCCCTGGACAAGAAAAATAAATCGGGTTGTTTAAAAAATCTTTTATCTGAAAGGTAAGACCCTAAAAAAGCATATATATGAGAATCTCTTTTGGAAAAAAAACGGAAGAGAATGAAATAATCATATTTGCGAATATTATTAAGTATATATATTTAATTATCCCAAAAAAAAAAAGACTTGCTTTTGAAAAATGTTAAAAATGACATCCATCTGTATCTATAGGCTTGAATATAAAAAAAAAGGTTCGATCAAGAGGTCTATAGCTGCGGAGGTAAGTGAGGGATTTGAACTATCGTGTGTCGAGAAAAGCGCGTTTAAAGCTTTTACCTACGTACAGACATGTTTTTTCAGTATTATATTTTCCCATTCTGTCTTCGCGGCGAGTTTGTAACCAACAGTGCCTCTGGTGCTGCATCTATCAAAAACGGATTCGCACGTTTTACACATTACATGCCGCAAAGCAACAACAGCTTGTAAAATTTTAGAAGCGAATTCATAACCAACTCGAAAAAGCTCATTGCGAACTTTTAGTTTCCTAATAGAAGCAATGAAAGTTTGCGAATGAATCTTAATCCCAATAATCGTTTTGATATAGATGCCCTAATAAGTATTTGTTTAGAAATGCTTCCAAGTGCACAGAAATCAAAAATTCCTTTTAGCTTATAAGAGAAGCCACAACTGAACAGGAAAGATAGTAGGTTACAACTTTCCAGCGGAGACTCACTTGATCCGGGCAGTTTTTGTGGAGTGTACTGCGGGAAAAGTTCGAAATTTGAAGAAAAAAAAATAACTTAGATAATAAATTATTTTCTGGCATATTATAGAAACTTGAAAACGTCTATTAAGAAAATCTGCAGTTGAATAATAAATTTAATTGCAAGCACTGTTAAGTGAAGCCTGTGATATTTCATGATTGAATACTAAAAGTTGAAGCGTGAACTAAAACAACAATCATTTTTTGCGAGATAACCTAAAGTGAAACAAATGAGAATGGAACGTGCTCACAAAAAACCCCTGATACATAGTCTACTATTAGTCGATCTGATGTGTGCACCTACATGTTACAAATTAAAAGAATAAATTAATACATTTTGTCGCAAAAGTATATTATTCGCTACATTAACTACTAAATTAAAGAGAATTGATATGGAAATGAATGCTAGATTAGGAACAGAGACGTAAACAGATTAAGAAGGAAAAATAAGACCACATGGTGATAACAATCAACGTATGACATCATTACAAATAAACAGAAACCGCACAAAGTGTAATATATATATATATATAATATATATATGAATGTTTGTCCAAATATGTTTTTTAAACATATATTTTAAAGTAAAGCAGACAAAGCCGATAACAATAGGAAGAAGAGAAATATAAATAAATATATAAGTAAAACAAAATCAGGGTCTCTGATGAGTAAGACTCATTACAATTCCAATTCAGTTTCGTTTTTACTTGGAAAACAACTTTTTGCTTGTCTTGTTTTTTTTTCTTTTTTTTTTTTTTTTTCTTTGTGTTTACTAATTTTATTTCTTTAGAGAGATACACTAAGTAAATATTTCCAGATTTTGACAGCGACAAAAAGTGACGACGAAAGCTTTACTTAAACCAATGCTTAAAGTTATTTTTTAGTAGATGTTCAAGTTTCGGTGCACTCAGTTCGTTTAGAGTTATACATATAATTTATTAAATTTAGTTTGGAAAAATAATAATAAGCGAAATGAAATTATTGCTCATTTTGTTAGGCGCCTTATTGGCTGTTCTCACAATTAAGCGCACGTCGGCTGTTCAAGGCAGCAATCATTTAATTTGTTACTATGATGGTAGCTCATATACCAGAGAAGGTAAATTGTTTATTATATCTACACAGAAATATATCACTGCATGTACGCACCCATAGACAATTATTTTAACAATATCATCATATATGTTTAGAAATACTTCTGCAAGACTTGTAAGAATTATTGAAAAGTTTCTTATATGTGTTATATATATATATATTTATTTATATACATATAGGCAGTGAAATTTATTTATGGGTCTTTTTCTACTGATATAGAAGGTTATCAATTGTGACCGTTATTCTTAAGTGTGTATGCAGTCATAAATTTTATAAATTTATTATAACCCAAGGCGTGCTAATTTGATTACATACAGTCTATAGCGCCTAAGAAAACTAGTTATGATCGATTAATCCACACTATTAACATATCGGAGGAACTTAGTTCATATAATTTCTATAATCTCTGTTGATAGATTTTTGGATTGTACAGTTGTATAAGATTGTCGAGGAATTCTCAATCTCAATTTTAACGCTTACGAAATTTTTTTTTTTTTTACCTGAAGAGAAATCATCATAAATCATCTCATGCGTGAATTTATTGGGAATGATGTGTAGTGAAAATGTCTGAGTGTTTTGCATAAGTTGATTTCTTTATAAAGCCTCAGCGGTGAACATTACCGATTAGGACCGATTAGGACTATGACTTTGATAAATATAAAATATTCGTTGGAAATGTGCAGTTGGTTTTTTGGAGAATGCCATTGAGGTGACAAGTTCATGTTATTATGTATAATTGTCCACAAGGGCACTGTATCAAGTCAATGTTCTTAAAACCAATATCAGATTTAAGTTTAGAGGTTCTTCAAAAGTCTCTAGAACAGCAAACTGAAGCTTATTTAATACAACGACTTTCTTTAAACTCATTCACGGAGAAATAGAGTGGGTTTTGATGAATCATTTTTACCAAATATTTTTAAGTGCTTTCCAATTAACTTTGTTAAAATGTACCGCTGTCGATACAAATGAGTTGGTTGGGTATTTTTTCACAACTCGCCAAATGCTCTTCATGAACCGAACTTTGTTTTTAAAAGCCGTGCATGTAATATGCCGAAAGCTTTAGTTGAAACTATGCACTCTGCCCAATTTGATCTATAATTAAGGATAAGCAAGGAATAGTATGTAAACTTTTCGAAACCATGCCGTAAGCCGCAAATTCTATTTATAACCAAAAAAAAAAACACTTGAGGGCCAGTAACAGCATTCGTTGTAGTTATATTACACCTCTTCTGCATCGTCCGTGTACGTCAGCTGTTTTGAACATTTTATCAGGAAAATTTTAAGGACGAAATCATCACACATTTCCCGCGATTGAAAAAATGTTGCACGAATCAAAAACATTCTCGAGGCCTATGCATTTGCATAGCAAAACAGTAAAACATCCATTTAAATTTAGAAAAAATGCCATAATAATCTTGATGAAGAGATGATGAATTGAAGATTGCTAGGCGCGAGTGGGTTTTTTTCTAAATTTTCATCATAAATATCTTCATTTTGTTTTCCTAATTGAATCATAAGACCGTCAACAGAGATTTATGGTATGTTGAAAATATTTATCTGTAATGTTCACATATTTCATCTGCCTATCTTCACTACACAATTTTTATTAACGTTCATCCATAAAAAGAGTAAAAATATAAAGAACATTAAGTAAACGTGACTGAAAAATTAACAAAATTAAAAATATATTTTCAAAAGGCGTACGAATTAAAAAACATTTCACAATTCAAATTAATGAGAATAGTAACGTATTAAATAACAAAATACGCATTTTCATGCATCTGAGGCTTTCTGAAGATATATGCAAAAAAAAATATTAGTCATAATCTAATTAATTAGAATTCAATTCAGATTGAAATTAAATACATTTATGGCAATAAGGGAAACAAAATAAAAAGCAGGCTAAAAAAAAAAAAATTAAAAATAAAAATAAAAAAAAAAATGCAATTGAATTGTGACAACTTCCTTTTTCAATTGACTTCATAAATAAGTGTTATATGTAAAGGGCAATAAAGCGAAAGCAGGGTCATTGCAACTGAAACGGAATTGTTAGCAATTCAATTAGGCAAGCGTTACGAAACAACCGCTAAACCGGCCTCGGGAAATATAAAAAGTGTAGCGAAATCTTAACAGTCGAACGGACGTTACTAATTAACAGTAAATAGTGCGGTGCAGCTGAAATGCTTAGCAATTCTGGGAAACTTTACTGAAAGTAAAGCAAAAATAAATTTCACAGCGTAATAAAAGCAATTCAATGTTTACTCACATTTAATTGATTGAGTAAAACTAGTAAACAAACACACACATTCCAATACTTCTTACATTTATTATTGAAAAGGAAACTAATGGATGCTAGATAAGCAATAGTCTTCGGAAATATCACAAAACATTATGATACTTGCAGGTTCTCTACATTTCCTCCTATTTAAATATATGTAAAACTCTCAACCACATATACAGCATTTTGCTTGATGACTTTTTGCAATAAAATTTGTACGATCGAAATTTATGAAAACAAATTCACAAATTTTCGCATATCTCTCTTAAAAATAATTTGACATTTTCCACTAAATGATGTAGACTTCAAAATAGTTCGTCATATCTGAATGTTCCCAGTTCCCGAGTGCTCGATTGAATAAACTAAAATATTCGCTAGCCAATGCCCCCCAATTTCTGGTGGAATCTTACACGGGTATTTATTTGTCCGTTCATACGATGCTATTTTCGTTTTCAAACCGTAACCCTTTCTTTGCTGGCCGCCACTTTCCTGCAAATTATCGCACCAAAAGAGCTGATTCGTGATAATAACGCGATTTAGTGGGAAAAAAACGATAGGCTTATTATATTCCCCTAGACTATCCAATATAGATATTTTTGCTCATTATTCAGTTCTCCGGGCGTTTCTTCGTTATGATCCCTTTTTGAATTTGTAGGGTTTTTGAAGATAAACAACTTTGAACGCTGTAATGCACCACAACTTCCCATCAAATACTCTGCACCACTTCGCTTAATACAGGCACTCACAACGCGATCTTCCAAAATAAGGCTTTAGATGGGAAATTTTTCAGTGCATCAAATTTCATCAAAATATCTCGAATATTCCAATCTGTGGATTGAATATAATACTGCAAGGCGGACAGACGCTTAGATATAATGATAAGCTTAAATATAATGAACGATGGGTCTGTCTCAAATCCTCCCAGGTATTATATATCCGCGCGCAATTTTAATATACCCTAATTTTACAAATTATGTAGGATAAATAAATAATAATATTAAGTAGGCTTGAAAACTGTCATCGAACTATGACTATGGTGTGTTATATAGACGCACGTGTCGAAATCCGTATCAAGTATAGATATGCATATGACGTTCAAATGATATGTTTAGATCGCAGTAAAGCGATCGAAATCGACCAGTGGAAAAGTTTCAAGTAACATAAACTCCAAAATGCGTATATGTATAAGAACACTTAATTTAAAAGCTAACGCAAATAGAAAGCTACAACTTTGAGATAATTTTTAAATGGCATACATTAAAGAGCGAAGAATATGTAATGGAGTATGGTTTGACGCACATATGTCTAACTCAATAAGATATGAGACAACAATTTCCCGTAAATATTAATATAACAATAAAAAGCCATTCACTTTTTTTTTTTCGTTTCATTTTTTCGGATGAATGATCTCATCATGTCTGTAAAAATGTACATCTATATGCCTATATGCTTGTAAACAGTTGTTATATAAAAACGATTTATTTTTAAATTTATGCTAATTGGAAGGCCAATCCGTCAATCCCTTCAATACCCCCCCACATACATTTTTTTTATACTTAATAAACGGCCAAGAGCGTTAAACTTTTAAATCATCTTATGCATCAAACTAAATATATATTAAATAATATATAAAAAAACTTTAATTTATATATTACTTATATATATTTTTTAGGTTTGGCTAAGCTAACCTTAAACGATTTAGAACCAGCGTTGCAATTTTGTACTCATCTTGTTTATGGTCACGCTGCTATTAATCCGTCTAGTAATAAATTGGTTAGCAATAATGAGAAACTGGATTTGGATGTCGGCACCGGTTTATATCGCACCATAACTGGTATGAAAAAGAAATACCCACATCTCAAGGTCTTATTAAGCGTCGGCGGCGATAAAGATGAAGTCGATGCCGACAACAACAAATATTTGACTCTACTAGAGTCAAGCAATGCTCGTATACCGTTTATTAATAGCGCTCATTCTATGGTCAAGACGTACGGATTTGATGGCTTGGAATTAGGTTGGCAATTCCCAAAAAATAAACCGAAAAAAGTTCACGGTTCAATTGGTAAATTATGGAAAGGTTTTAAAAAAATCTTTACCGGCGATTTTATAGTCGATGAAAAAGCTGAAGAACATAAAGAAGAATTCACGGCTTTGGTGCGTGAATTGAAGAATGCTTTACGCCCAGATGGTTACGTATTGGGTTTAGCGGTATTACCGAATGTTAATTCGTCACGTAAGTAAGCGTTACAATATGTTCGATTACAATATAGGTATAGATATTATTAACTTATTTCTTTTCTGTAGTTTTCTATGATGTGCCTGCTATTGTTAATAACTTAGATTATGTTAATCTTATGGCTTACGATTTCCAAACACCGCAACGCAATCCTGAAGTAGCCGATTTTCCAGCTCCTATTTACGAACTAAATGAACGTAATCCTGAATCTAATGTCAACTACCAAGTACAATACTGGTTGCAAAATCACTGTCCCGCCTCAAAGATAAATGTCGGTATTGCTAGCTACGGCCGTGCTTGGAAAATGACTACAGATTCCGGTCTTACTGGTCTGCCACCCGTAGCCGATGCTGATGGGCCTGCCGCTGGTGGCTTACAAACACAAACCGACGGCCTATTGAGTTGGCCCGAAGTTTGCGCTAAACTACCTAATCCAGCCAATCAACATTTAAAAGGCGCTGATTCTCCTTTACGCAAGGTGGGCGACCCCACTAAACGTTTCGGTAACTATGCTTATCGTTCAACCGATGATAAAGGTGAAAATGGCATTTGGGTTGGTTACGAAGATCCCGATACAGCTGCCAATAAAGCTGCTTATGTCAAGACTAAAGGTTTAGGTGGGGTTGCTTTAGTCGATTTATCATTCGATGATTTTCGCGGTGCATGTACAGGAGATAAATATCCTATTCTCCGTGCTATTAAATTCAAATTTCAATAAACATTAGAATTTCATTAAATTTTTATATAATTCATTGCTAAAGTCTACCATATGTAAATTCTGAGAAATAAATCGGAGAATTTTGTTAATTATTCGTAAAAGTCTTTTCTTAGTCTCCAAACGATATTGAATTAAATTACGTAATAATTTTGCCAGATCAAGTACAGTCGTATTATGTCATCGAATACAAAGCTTAACAGTGTCACTACCAAATATTATGATTAGTTCCTAAAATAAATACAAGATTTTCTTTTAATGTGTTCAAAGCAACAGCACCATGAGAAACATGGTAAAGGCATACTTGAAATGCACATATTAACAAGCAAGTACAAAACATCGTAGAAAAGTAAGTAAATTCGAGCAATGACATTGTTTCTGCACGCAAGCACAACAAGAGGGCTTTCATTCGTGCAACCGTTGAAGTAACGTTCAAGAGCAGTGAAGTTGAATTTTCCGGTACTTATATGCCTACAAAAGAATCTTAACTTAATCTTTAATATCCTTATATAGATTACGTAAACAATTTAATTTAAAGTCACAAATCAGATACACCAAACCACCAATTTAAATCATTCCGACAGCACTGGCCTTATCGAAGTTGTGTCCCTTTAAATATATCTTAATTGCGAATCGAAGTGTTTTCGATTCGAAAGATGCTTGAATTCCATCAAGATAGAAAGCTGGACGCTAAGATACTGCCGAACCAGGGAATAGCTAATCGTAGCTATCGTATCCTCTAGTGAATTCATTTTTTGCACTACACGTTCGCAACTGATATAAGTGTGGGACGTCGTGCAGATTGCGTCGGTGGATAGGGCCTCTCAGTATAATTTGCTTGGTTTTTTTAACTAACTTTATCTTATAATTTTGTTACCTACGTTTTCCGTCCTCTCTCTGTGGTTTCAAATTTTCTGCCAGCTTTGGTTGGAAAGACGTTCTACTTCGTCTCTATAGTGCCATAACTAATAAAAAAAAAAACTACTTCGACCAACATTCTTTCCCTTTCGTGGCAGCTAAAGGCGCAAATAAATTCTTCGATGTAAAAGCCAAGTCATGTAACACTTGCAATTCTTATGTATATTATGTATAGAACTTTACGATTAAATTAACTGTTGCGTTTGTTGGGGTATATCTCTGTGCGTATGAGAGATGACAACTCGTTTACACTGCAAGCACATTACAATTTGATAGATAATTATCCTTGCAACAGTCACAGTAAGGCAAAGTACCAAATATTAACAAGAGAATTACCTCCAATGCAATAGATGCAAAGCATGAAATCTTGACAATGCTCAGAACATGTTACACATGAACTTTGGATGAGCATGTGCCCTCGCATATCACAAACACAAAAGCAATTGTTAGAGCATTAGTAGAAACTTATGTGTGATTTTCGACAAATTCATTCCTACTTAGATATGTGCGAACGTGGTTTTGAAAACATTACTGCAATGATTTGTTACAAGTTATATATGTACATGTCTGCACATCCCGCACAGCCATAATAACAGACAACGATGTTTCATCTGTAGTTAATATTCAAACAGTCTAATATTGCACTGAGTTTTAAGATGACGACTTTAACTTCTTAGGGGACCAGTGTCTCTAACCGAAATAAAATGAGTTTTATGGAGATATATAAAGAGATTTAATCATAACAAACAAACCGTTCGTCTCGTCTTTTTATTATCGTATCGCCTCTTTTTTATATCGCGAATTAGCTAGGTGCAGCAAAGTCGCTAAATGCAGCGCTGCATTCAGCTAAGTGCAGCGCTCCATTCAGCTAAAGGCGGCGCTTCATTCAGCATTCAGCCACGTGAAGCAAAGTAGCCGAATGCAGCGCTGCACGTAGCTGAATGCAGCGCTGAATGCTGCACTTAGATGAATTCAGCACTTAACTGC